TAAGATTTATTAAAAGTATTATGGACTAAATTGGGACATTTGAAAGTATAAGAGTTAAATAGAATATAAAGAAATTTGATAATGACGAATTTTTTTAGGAAAATTAACGAAAGATAAAAGGTGGGGATTGATTTTAAGATTTATTAAAAGTATATGGACTAAAGTTGAACAACTAAAGAATTTGTGCTAAGAGACTAAAATAGTTTTTAATTTAATTTCGTTTTTTCAAAAACGTTCAGATAAGAGGTAGATGCAGGGGTTTGACTCCTCACTGGGTTAACTAAGAAACTATGTTTTAAGTTGTCACTTTTAAAACTAAAATATTCAATATCATTATGCCATTTGGATTTTTGTTTTCATATTTAACATACAATTTATGAGTAATATAGAAATTTCATTAATCTTTTACAAAAATTTGGAAACGAGAAATATAAATGTAAATAATTACATTTTGTATATTATCTTGGTACAAGGGATAGAAAAAAGAGAATTTTTTGAAGCATGCATGGTTTGCCTACCTTCCGGATCCTGGAGGTGGGGAGTGGGGAGGCTTTGGGGTTTTGCACTTCGCTCCCTGCAGGATCAGGATTCAAATTTATGGTCCTCTGTTATTTATTTATTTTTAAAAAATTTTATAAGACACTGACTCATTTTTTTTTAAAATTGAATTAAAAAGGAATCTGAATATTACTCAATAATTAATATCTCAATTATTTGATCCTCGTTTGGTGGTAAGATTTTGGTTTCCATAGTTACAAGCCTTTTTAGTTGAGGGGAGAGTTATGTGAAACTAATGGAAATTTTATATCAAAGCCATAATTTATAAAGCAAAAAACGAAATTATATTCGACCATAGTTAAAACATCAGTAACTCCTTTTTACAAGTTTTAATATCTACGTTCACCCATTATATTATATTGTTAAAAAAATAAGAGAACTAAGGCAAGTCCTATTTTTTTCTTTAATTTTATTGATAAAGAAGGTTAAAAGGAGAACTTTAAACTTTTATTTTAATTAATTAATTAATTATTTCAGTTTCCCCACTTGATATGAGAGTTGAACACTTGTGGATTTCCAAATTTGTTTGTTTATAGTGGTAGAATATATTGTCATTATGCCCCAGTAGAAATCCACACTTGTCCATGTCGCACTCTCGGATAGGTCTTAGTTGTCTTGACAAGCACGTACATGAATATCAAGATAGTTATAATTAAGCATAATATATATACATAATTTTGGCCAAATATAAGGAAAATCTTATTAAATTGTAGACAATAAGAATGACCTAAAATTGTTTACCTCGTTTGTACCAAGTCTATATTATAATATATATCCTAGAGAGAATAGTAGTATTAAAGTATCTATAAAAGATTAAATTTGTGGAAGTTTTTGAGTTGATTGATGATTTAACCTATATGTGTGTGTGAAACTTTTACTTTGTTAATCAAAATATTTACCACTTGTTGGACAATTTCATTTTCTACATACTTCCTCAAGCCCCAGTTTGAAAAAAAACCTTTCATTAACAAATAAACACATAAAATTAATCAGAGGAAAGAAAATAAAAAGAAAGAATTGTTTTAAAGTAGTTGTAGTTTCCTCGTCAGGTTACGTGGGAGCATATGTTGATCCCACTAAACAGCATATGCTGTCTGTAGGCACACGACCCATTAAGCCAAATTTTGCAATAATAACCAAAGATTCTCATTGTCCAAACTCAGAACTCCCTCTTCTACACACACCTTATAATTTTCTCTCTCTCTTTTTTTTTTTTTAAATCCAATTCTATCATGTCATGTGCCTCAATTTAATACTTAATAGTGAATGCACTGCACTGATATTGAGATTTTTATATACTAAATCAATCCATTCCATTTCATTTCATTTCAAACCACAATATTCATACACTAAAATAAAGTAGGAAAGTACACTTTTTAACACATATATATAGAGAGAGATATATATTTATTCCATTGGGTTAAGTTGGACAAATAATAAAATGACACACACACAAAATCAAATGTTGTGGAAGCTTGTTTTGGCCTTTGAGAAGAAAACCCATCATCATCTTGTTGTTGAGTTTTTGGTCATATTTCCCACTTGATGAAGCAATTAGTTTGGGGAGGTGGAATAATATAATTAAACAGTTGCAATTGGACCCAGTTTGACATTAGCTTCCACAGCTTTCATGGCTTCAAACCTTGGCTCCTTGGCCTGGAACTTCACAGCTGTATAAAGCTTCATGTAGTCTTCAAACACAAATTTTGGGTAGACCTGATTTTTCTCTTCTGCCTCCTTCTCCACCAGAGTTGGGGCTGGGTATATCACTGCATCGCTCCCTGGGTTGTAGAATGATGCCAATGACATCCTCCCTTCCCCATCTGCCTGTGCTATCACTCTGTGCTCCACGCTCTTGTACTTCCCGTTCGTTATCACCTGCAAAATCCCACGATTATAATTACTATGAACCAAAGAGGAAATTGTAATTCGACCACATACTCTAGAATGATACTTCCCTACTGACTGGGTAGTAGGAATTTTCGCCACCGGTCACTACTGACTCACGATTAAATTTATCATAACCCATCAATTTAAACTTTTTGGATTCATTGGTAACATTAGAGCAGATTTTTATTTGTGGTTAGCAAAATCTCCTCTTGTCCATTATAGTAACATACTTTTCGATAGCATATATCTTTTGCTGAACACGATTACAATTTTAACAATTAGAAGAGATATATAGACAAAGAGATTTTTAATTTTTGACATTTAATGTTTATTCAAAAAAGTAAAAAACCTGTCAAATAATGACAACCATAAAGATGTGTGGTGACCAATAAATTCATGTTAACGTTAGTACAACATTTCGATTGTTACAAAGAATGAGCCGTAGATGGTGGTTACCTCGAGCTGGTCGCCGATGTTGACGACGATGGAGTGGCGGAGCGGGGGAACGTCGACCCAGTGGCCGTCCTTAAGCAGCTGGAGGCCGCTGACCTTGTGGTCTTGGAAGAGAAGGATGATGCCACCAGCGTCGGTGTGGGCTCGGAGTCCCTTGATCAGATCCGGCTTCGGGCACGGCGGGTAGTTGCTGACCTTGGTGCCGAAGGTGGGGCCCTTCGACCCATAGAACACATTTTTGAGGTACCCTTTCTCCAGCCCAAGATTCTCACACAGCAACTCCAACAACTCTTCCGCAAGTTTCTCCAATTTCCCCGCAAATTCCTTCATTACCCTCCTGCGTTGGAAACCAAATACACGTCCAACAAATTTCAAACACATGACCCATCAACTCAAGCTTTTAAGGTGGTCCACGGATTATGCTTACCTGTACTCGTCGTCGAGTTCGGGGAGGTCGGCGATGTTGGAGACTGGGAGATGGCGGAGGAAGAATGTGCTTTCCCAGTCGATATCGTCGACCTCGGCCTGGACCGCGTCGAGGCCCTTGCTGGACACGAGCTCTTGGAACCGCTTCTCCATACATTTCTTGTAGTGTTGCTTAGTTAGCCTCTCCACAGTGTCCAGAAACTCCGGCGCAATCCCGTGGTTCAGAAGCTGAAATCCGCCATGGGAAATTTCGTTTTTTCGTCTTATATGAACATGAATCAATTGAATAATTGAAATTATTTTAAAGTTACCTCAAAGAAACCCCAGTTTTCACAGGCGTCCTTGATTTTCTCCATGATGGCTGCCCTCTCATGGCCGTTCAGCTTCTCCAAGTTGATCACAGGGAACTCCATGTCCACAACTAATTAATCTCTGTTTTCTCTCTGTTTAGTGTATAACTTATTGGGGGTAGAGGAGTTGGAAGTGGGTGTGGGGTATTTATAGGGGAGCAGATCTTGCACAAGGAATTTTAGTTTCTCCGCAGTAGAAATCGGGAAATTAACCATAAATAAAAGCCAAATTAGTGTTCTTGTTCTTGAAAGAGAGAAAATGGAAATGGGGTTTGGCTTTGGATTTGGGCTGGTTGAACAATATCCACAAGCTTGGAAAGTTGGAATTGGGCGAGCGGACCCACCATGATGGCTCAAAAGTTTGACCCAAAAATTAAAAGAAAAGGGAAAAATCAGAGGGCGAAGCCAATAGAATAGTGAATGGGTTTTGTTTTTGTTTAGTTGCATTCCTCAGAAATTGGACATTTTGTTTGGAGAGAAACGAAGCTACCCACTCCCTTCCCCCGTCCACCTCAACGACTTAGAATGACTTTGCCACCGCAATCACCTTTTTTTTCTTTTCTTCAAAATTCTACCCAATTTTTTTTGGAGAACGTTTTTAATTTGGAGCTAAAAATTAAATAAATATTTGGCTGTAGAGATTCGAGTTTGAGTATGACATGTTTGTTTGTGTATTTTGATTTGTATGAATGCTTCGGGTGATGCTAGTATGGAACTAAGAGTAATATTTAGGTGTTTATCAATCGGTATCCATCTTTGTGATGACTATTATTAAAAATTTGAAAGCTTTTTAGTTTTTTAAAAAATAAAAGAAAAAGTATTCTTTTTTCTGCATTTTTCTCTACTACTAGTCAAAAATTTAATGATGGTATGCAAAAGATATGTGTTGATTAGTGAGCATCCAAGAATTTTTGTGAAATTTGGGGGTGTGATAATAATTTGAGTTTTAGTTGGATGTGTGGTTAATAATCAATCTAGGATAAATTAAAAAAAGTGATTAGATAAATTAATTAAAAAAAGAGTAAAAATAGAAGTAGTTGTTTAACTTCCTTAATTAAGTTTGTAAATGGTCAACCTTAGCGTGTGAAATAGTTAAGTATAGTAATGGGGCCTCTATTTTAAATTTCAATTGGTCTGGATTTGGAAATATTAGATCTTCAAATAATATTTAAAAAAGGCCACCCTTTTTTTATTATTTTATTTTTTTTTCTTGTGTTAACTTGATAATTTTATACTACTGTGAGATCAGAGTGGCTGCTTTTTGCAGGAAAAAAAAATGCACATGGCTTTATTTAATTTTTTAGATTCATCTAATTATGACAAAAAGATTAAACTTTATTAAATTTTGGAAGGCTGCCAAAGCAACATTTTAAAAGGATTAAATCCCTTGAATCCCCACCCCTTTATCTGGACTCTAAAAAAAACAAAAATCAAAGCCCTAAAAAAGTACTGAAATTATGTAAGGCCACTCATTTCTCAATTTTTTTTTTCTTTTTAATTACTCTTTCTCTCCACCTGAAAAAATGGTGCTCCCTTATAATAAATAATATTTAGAAAGTATTGATAAATATTACATTATAAATAAATAGTAGAGATTCAAACGGCTCATAGAAAAGATGATAATATGAACTATTTTTATGTCAAAAATTTTGTTTTAGAATACCATATTACAAATATATAAACAGATGATTTGAATCTTTGAGAAGTGAAAGTTTTGGTAGTTGAATATTGGTTTAAATAATATTTTTAGTACATATATTTTTAGATTTTGTTTATTTTAGTTTTGTACTTCCCTTCATTTTAATTTGTGTATTCTCACGATTGTTATAGGAAGAAAATAGAGATCAGATTAAGCAAACCGAAAAGAGGAAAGAAAGCCGAAGAAAGAGCGGACCCGAAGAGGTAAGTGGGTTGGGGGCCAGCGACCTGGGCCGGCCGTGGCCAACTCGAAGTCGACGCCGAGCATAACCTCTCCAGTGAATCCCGACTCCCGTGCAAGTCCAGTCCGAGTCGACTTGGTCTCGACCCTGAATGGTACGTGAGGCCTACTCTGTGATCTCCTGGCGTAAGGATTCGACGAATGTAAACCCTAGGAGGATTAGGGTTCAGCTGATCCTGAAGGGATTAGGACTCGACCTTTACTAGCTACTCTCTATACCCGACTACTCCAATACTAACTTAGGCATCAGAGTCTGTGTGGCAAAGGCTACACCGGTCTTCTGTTTTGCAGGTCTCATCAATGCTTTTGTTCTAGAAGATTGGTGCGAATTCGACGAAATTCCAGGAAGCAGAATTCTAGCATTAACAACAATGTACTTATTATTAAAAGTGACTAATTTGGTCTCTATTCGTAAAATTTTAACATAAATTTTATAAACAATATAAATTTTTTTAATACAAATTTATGACTACATTTCAATAAATTTAGTGAATGAATTATCTTGTTAAAATTGTGATCGAAAGAACATCATTCCAACAAGAAAGTTCCCCTTGAACCGTCCTGGGTCCGCCCATCTCCCCTTTCTCAAGGCATTTCTTTAGACAAAAGACTCCGTTTTTTCTCTTTTCGGATGGTAAATATTTGTCGAGGTGTGAATCAAACCCTTATTTGAATTGAAATTGAGATACTGATGCAAGTTATTCCTTTTTTTTTWWKRAAAWKRAARRAMMAAAWT